GCGCTGAGCTAGGGGGTGAAGGAGGGGACAAAACGTGGCCTACCTTGAGGTGTGGCATGATCTGACTGATTAGTACCATCGTTGAGGATCAGGACCGGGCCAAAGACCGGCTATCACAGGCATGGTTGTCACCTTGACATCTACCGGGTCGTCAGTGCATAACTATCCATCCTCTTCACTAGGTGATTGGTCCTCTCGGTTGACCATTATACCACCTAGTAAGTAATATCGATCCTGATAGGGGACGGTCCGCCACGTTCATCTAGACCGAACCCCGGGGGGCTCCCCATTAGATGAAGAGAAATTGCTACATCACCAACTTTCCCGATACTAGTGCGACCAAATAAATGAGAATTAATTTCTTCAGCTGGTCCCACTCAAGAGAATCAAGAAAAATAACGACAGATAACGCTGGAAGGATTCAGATCCCCGCTGGAACGTGCAGTTAGTCCATGCATGCGGACCTCCCACATTGGCTTGGGCGAGACGCCGTTTACCATACTAATTGGCAGGTAAGTCATGATTAATTTATTACCGCCAGTCTCATTCGTCTGTCATCATTATTGTCCATCTGGCAGAACCTGATCCTTGCGGACACCAGGTCCATTGGAATGTTCCATCCGACCACACGTGTGCAAGAGCCTCTGTTACCTTTTCATGGCGATCATGCACCATTTGGTTGGGACCAGGCTATTCTATGTAGTGGTATTTCTCAATCCCTCAAGTATTATTATTTTTTTTCTTTTTTTCTTTTTTTCTTTTTTTTTTTTTTTTTTTTGTTGGCCCCTCTCCTCTCTTTCTTTCCCTGAGTCACTGGATATATCGGATATTGAATCCACTCTCAACCCTGACTCAAAAGGACAAAGTACCTGGAGCCGATGGACTAGAGAGATATCGATTGAGGGGAATATGACAGGCCATCAAATCCCGAGGACTACACCGTACAGGATACTCCATACAGGCAGCGATATTATGCAGCCCAAGGACATAAGACCGCTAAGTCGCAACATACTTCCGAAAGCAGATAAGCGCGCTGCAAATTCCATTAGTAAACATTTTCCTGCCTGAGGTTTGGCATGGTTAGACCCCAACACAAGCTTCTATCACTCAACCAACATCCTACCCATTCTGGGATTGGCCCATACTATGCATAGCAACCCATTTCTATTATTCGCTGTCAAGCACTAGTAACTCTTGTCATCGTCCAGAAGACCCTCCGTGGATGGTTGCGATTCGTTTCTGCAGCATCCTGTTTAAATTACCAAAACCAATGGCATTCTAATATTGGCTGCTATTGCCGGATAGTATATATTGCCTTGGCCAAACGTGCAGGGTGTTGCATCCATGGTTAGGATGATCTTCATATCCACTACTCAACACGTGCGAAATAGAACGCCACCTTAATAACCAGGACACAACTATCTCGAATATGGGAAATGCAACCTCACATTATGCCGGGTGGTAAAGCGGCTTCCGGGGTGTGACACTCTGAACAATTCCGGGCGTATATATGCCACAGACGTCATATAGTACGGCTTCTGGCGACTCCAAACCAAGCCCATGTGCACCATCCTTGTAAATACCATGCACACTATAAATGTATAGTTCCGTATCCTAGTACATACCCAGCTAAGTTTCAGAAAGTTCCAAAAGGCAATCCCCGTGGCAGCCAACAACAACCACAACAACCCAAGGTCATCCATAATCCTAGCACTGATAGACCCTTCCACTTACTGAATTCGGTTCGCCGTGAGATTCTCCTCACGAACCAACCATGCCGATTCTTTATTGATCCTTGCCACGTTGTGCCTCGTGGCCAAGGACTAGGCGCATTCTGACATCTCGGTATTTTTAGCCCTGGGACGCCTTAGGGTCCATTTTTACCCCTCGTTTAATCCCCGTCCAGTCGCTGAATTCAACCACCATTTTTTTTTTTTTTTTTTTTTTAAGATCTCACCATGCAGTCTGCGTGCTTACTTACTGGCGGTTTGTGTCTTTTTGAAACAAGTACCCTTATGCATGTAAGCTGCGTCCGTTCCCCAAACTGATGGTTTCAAGTGAGGGGTGTCTGTACCTATATTTATCAACATGCAATTTTGAAACGAGTTTCTTCTGCATTGCTTCATGTTTGGGGCGTGGGGCGTGGGGCATCACCGTGCAGAAATGGCATTCAGCTCCGTCATGTCAGCATCTTCATTCTATTTCTTTTCACGTCATACTCCTGCAGCAAACTACTTATCGTAGGCGAGACACAGCCTTTCGACTACTACTACTACTACTACTACTACTACTACTACTACTACTACTACTTGCGTCTTACTATGTTTTTAGTCTGCATGGTTTGTGGGAATTTCAATACATATTCTATATTTATCCTGAGATCTTCATCCGGATATCCGGTCACTGCCGCGATTTTGAGGTCGGATGTTTGTCCGATGTTTGTCGACTGGACGTCCAGTGGGCTGGTTCTCGTTTTGTTGAGCTGGCATACTATTGTTTGGTGATGTCCGATGATCTATCAAGGAAAGACTTTGGTTATTGTAAATACTCGCACATCTTGTGCTTGTGGCCGGAAATATATATACACATATACTCCATTGCACATTGGACCACAACAGAACATAGGATTATATAGATTAGAAATTAGATCATCGAGACAATCAACCAGGAACCCAAAATCACATTGATAAGATAAATAAGTTTATAGAGAAGATTCCAAAATTCTCTCAATCGAGCAAAAATTCTGTGATGGAATCACACAGCTCGCCATGATTTGCAAATATTCACCAAATCCAGTCAAAACAAACATATCTACTCAGACTACATAAACACCATCAATCTGAACTTCCCATAACCAAAGGGATCCATGGCCTTCAAACGGCTTATTCAACGTCACCCCATTCTGAATCCGATAACCTCTAATATATATTATCCGCCTGCATAGCTAAACCGTCTCAATAGTTAGGCTTTAGTAGATCAATAGACTTTTGATTGATTAATTGATATATACTATTAACGTCGGAGGAAATAGGCAAGAAACAAGGAAGCGTTGAAAGCCCATCAAGGGAGCGGAATAGCGAAACAGAGAAGTCGCGACTCGCTGGCGGCAAAAGCAACCTCACCACCATACCTTCATATCTTATACTTGTATGTAAATGAAATAGCTTCACCAAGAGCTTAGGCTGCACCTGCACACCTGGTCACTTACATTGTGGACTAGCTGCGTCAGGGGTTAATGGAAAATATTGCCACAATCATTTGCAGAGCGATGAAAAGCTTCAGGAACACAGAGCTATTGAAGTGCATGCACTTTATCTCAAAGGGTGATTGATCTATTGGTCTCAAGCCAACGAGAGCTGGTAGCGGATGACAGTTTCTTTGACCCAGAGGCCTATCGGCCTAAGTCTATGTAGACGGCCGATTTGTCTACATTGAAACTACTATTCATGAAGCAGTTTCGTGTGCGGGATTTGCTACTGCGGGGCTCTATATCATTAATGAAGCAAGTAACAGCTATCCGAGACACGAAGATGGGCAAAAGGATATATCTAAGAAGAAATATCGGACGTAGTCTTATGATTGGTGTTCTTGGTGATTGGTATAGGGTGTCAACATGCGGTGGTGCTTTGGATAGGCTCTGGGATACTCATATACATATCTCCGTAGTATACACTAGATTCTATAGAAAGCTCAAAGAAGAGAAAATATGGTGATAGAATTGACCGCATCAGAACGACTAGTAGGAATGAGATCATCTATAATGGAAAGCTTATGCAAAGGAGGTTAGGAACGTATGATTTAAGGTGGCACAGTACGTAGCTTGCCATAGAGAGGTACGCTCACAGATTCCAATAGGCTACTAAACATTTAAATGAAGGTGCGCCTTGGCCGCACATGGGGACCAGAGTTGACGTCGGTATGATACATGTCATATGGGAATGGTGGTTTTTTGCTGTCTTGACCCTCAGATACCAACCAGCAAGTAGTGGTCGGTGTATTGTACAGAAGAGAGCTTCCCCGATTGCTAATATTCTGACAGCCAGTAGTCTGATGTGTAGTCTTAGGCGTTCTTTCTGGATGTTAAATGTTAGATAGGTGAGGGCGAAGTACCCCAGATTAATGAATATAGAGGGTAATAGACGTCACAAGGCTGCTGACGATCTCCTCCTGGACAAATTATAAATACCGATTGAAGTTGAATGTAAGTGGACCGTTTAGGAAGGATTCATAGACTGTATAGAGAGAGGTAGGCAGAGAGAGTTGCTAGGATCTCGCTAAAGATTGTGGTTGGGATGCGAAACAGATCCTGTGGGCAACGTTTCGTGAACGGAATAATAGCGTTCAAGTTCAGATGGCTAGGTAAATCGAGATCAAACAAGAGTGGTATCCATTCATTCTTCGCATTAACTACAGGCTCAGCCATCATCTTACTTACAGTTCCCCAAGCATACCAACAACATTAGGGAGATGATGGCCAAGGGAAGTTCAGTAAATCGCAAATAAATAGAAACATCAAACGAAAAGAAAGCAACCAAGGCGGGATAGCCTCAGCGCACGAACAAAAAGGTATGAGGGAACAGAAATATGTTCAGAAAACTCAAGAATACTTCACCGCAGAACGCCTTTTCAAAATACAAGTTCCCTGGTCGACATACCGCAGTCTAAACCCAGAACTAAACTTCTGACCCTCCCGGGTATCTTGTGACCGTTCACACATTCATAAGGCCAAGTCCGGGCCGATTCCTTCCAAGTGGACGCAGCATTCTCGTTCGAAGGCTGCGATGATGATATCGTCCTTGACTCCCCGAACACGTCACGGGGCGTTGCTGGATTATGGAAGTAGGGATGCGTTGCAGTTCCAGACTCGAACAACATGTTGCAAACAAAGGTAGACAGTGAGACGTCGTAACTTATCTACAGAATATGCCTCCAGGATATCGCAAGGTCGCCAGATAGAACGCGGTAGAGGGGAAATCAAAAATGAAATCGAAGGAATGTATGAAAGTCGAGCGTTAAATCGCAAACTAATTTATGTATATCAGGAACAAGTCGCACTAGTGGCCCAGGCTGTTTTCAATAAATTCACTAGGGGCATGGTCCACTTGGGAGGTTCAGAGTTCTTGAATTTAATAGCGGCGATCGGGATTGGTCACCTAGAACACGTTTAGCAAATTGTATTGCGTGGCAACACGCGATCAAGGGCACATGGTATTACCTGCAAAATTCGACGGGAGAAGTCTTGATCATCATCGATGCTGCCATTGCTTTGGCGCCGCTGTGCCATGAAGTCACCGTCAAACCTAGAATCAGACATGGAGCTTTGGGACATGGGCTTGGCGCCAAAGTTGTCGATATTGTTGTTCCGATACTGTTCGGGCATGTTGGAACGGTTCCTAAACCGCCATAGAAAGAAGATGGCTCCCACCAAAGCACAGAAACCAACAACTCCCACGACGACGCCAGCGGCGATAGCAGCAGTATTCGACCCAGAATTTTTCTCCTTCTTTTGCTCGGCACCCTGCGTCGTCATTTCGCTATCCGACGTCTTGAACACTGTTTGTCCACCAGAAGTAGTAACAACAGTCCCTCCATTGGTGGTAGTCGAGGTTCCACTCTCGGTGCTAGAGGAGGAGCTCGAGGAGGAGGAGGATGAGGATGAGTAGCTATCCACGTTCTCTTCGATACCCGTGAGATACACGGAAAAGGCATTGTTACCACCACCTGTAAAATGACACATCAGTACTCAAGAGCAGGGGCTGAGTCGGAAAACTACATACACATCACATCAGGCCATCCAGCACATTTGACATTGCAGCTGCTATCATCCGTCTTAGCCGACGTTGCCGGTAATTGGTTACCGCAAAGACAGTTTGTGCCCTTTGCTAAGGCAAAAACAGCATAATTATCCTTCAAGCAGAGCTTCTGACAATATCCGTTACTTTGGTACGTATAAGAGCCCTGATCCTTCAACGGTGTCGAATCATCATAGCATCCCTTGTCGACTTGTGTCTGTGCGTTCACTGCTGCAATGAGAAGGGCGGAGGCTGCAAGAACCGACTTCATCGTGAATGATTTCATGTTGTAGATGTAGATGTATCGGATATCAATTGCAAAGGGGTATCAGTGTCTGGACACCTGCTCCAGACAGTATGGTTGTTATGCTAACGGTTAAGCGAAGGAAAGAGGGACGACCGGCGTAACCCTTTTAGACCACTGAGGTTATTTGAGATCCTGTTTCGCAGTGGACTTTCCGAAAGGCGACAAAATGACCGCGACGACCTTCAGGGGTCAGGTTCGCGTAAATAATTCGACGTTATTAACCGTGACACAGTCGATGAAACGCGCAGCTAATCAAGGGCCGCTGACGAGCGAAAGGATAGTTGAAGAAGTTAGGTTAATGCGATGGCGATGGGAAAAAGAATGTTGGGTTGTTTGTCAAGGGCGGTTCTTAGGCGGGGAAGACTTTGAGGACCGGACGTTTCAAGCGCCCCTTTCTGCCGAGAGGAGTTTAATGAACGTCCTTAACAGGAAACTTAGAAGGTCGCTCAGATCACCCGCGGCAACAGCGAACTGGTACGGAAGCGAACGAAGGCTGGCTCGGAGAATTTCGAAGAGGGGAGGATATATTGATGTAATCGCCAATGTTTGCACTTAAACAAGGGGGAACGATAGAAAATAGGAAGAGAACTGAAATCTTAACGAAAGCAACCGGAGACAAACCCCTCCGAGTGAAGAACAAGAAGAGAGAACGAGTGTCTTTTGTCCGAAAGTAGGAAGGAACGGAAGGAAAAGGGAAGGGGAAGGGAAAGGAAGGATACTAGGTAGGGGTCTGCTGAGACTGAACGAATGACTTGACGGGGGGAGGGTTACCTACAGTACAGGGAGATTGACACGGAAGAACTCCTCCGTAATGATTGGTACCTACTTGATTTACCGGGCGATTAAGCGACGCACCTCCTAGAGAATACACAGCATTCACTACTAAGGCTACTACGAGTTTAACCAGTGACTTGATTTCTAAGCTTAGATTAGGCTCTTACAGTAAAAGTGCCATTAAAGTCGAATTATCATGACCTACATCATTATCATCAATAGTTTCCAAATAAATGGAACGGAATATAACCATGGATGGTACTTACCGTTGTATCTTTAGGGGTCGTTTCCAAACGGAGGGTGACCCTGGATATGCAGGGCGGTAATTTTTGTCCCGCGTACCAAAGTTTCACTACTTCAATCAGAGCGCGACCACAGATTATATAAGCAATACCATGAACGGATTGGCTAATCAGAAATCCAGGGGCACAACGATCCCTTTCCAATTCGGTATTCATGAGCGGATTGAAAAGTGGAGTATCAACATACGCTATACCTATATGGGGAAGGTCATGGGCTTGGTGTGATTATTTGTGGCAGCGCTGCATTAATGAAAAGAGGGGATGATGTACAGTCATGATTTCCCCATAGGTTCTTTCTTCTTCTATGGATCAAATGACATTGCAAGAAAAGGTATGACCATCGAGGGTGGACATATTCTTGAAGAGTTGGAGATAGCGACATCATCCAACAGAATCTCGATCGATAGTAAGGAATATGGCCCGTATGAACCTGGGCTATCTATACCTCATATGAACAAACAAACGGCTAGGAAGCTCACTTGGCCATCCATGGTTACACCCAACATCCTGTCCCTTTTTTTGTTTCAGTGTGGATGAACAAATCTCATGTTCGCTTGCGACTGTGGTGTACCAACATAAGCAGCCCGAGGTCGAGTGATATTACTACAGTGCCTTGAATGCCCATCAGCCACACTGGAAGTGTTATGATATCCTCTGCGGAGCATACTCTGAAGAGTACACTAAGCTTCTAACGTGAATGCAAAGAATTAATCAATAGCGATGTGAACCGTTTTCCTTCACCAGAAGGTTTGCCGCGTCAGTGCACAGCTCCTTGCTCCATACCTTCACTAGCGGGGATAATAACCCCATAAGCAGCCAACGGAACACCCGGACCTTTTTCTCCAAAGAAAACGCGGGAAAGCAATGGATGGCTGGCTGGCTGTTCTGCACCATTTCTCGAAGGCAAGCCCGTGCACTTCTGGTCTTCTCTGGTACAGACTACAGGGTCCAAATTTTGGCAGCCCATAACAGCTCACTCCACGAGATACTACGCCCGAGGCGTGGCAAACGAGATATTACCGCCGAATTTGCGCATCAGCAGGTACCATTTTTAATTCGAAGTCGACTAGACCTTTTTGATCCTGATGTGCGGCAACGAGCCAATTACAAGCGAACAGTCTGTCGTTTATGGAGCCTGGAAGCCGTGTTTGGTCAGCACCAATAGAGGGCTGCGTCATGCAGACCCATGCAGATCTTGTCACTAATAGAGGAGACCAAATTACATATTCTGTACTTAAGAGACTTAATAGACTCTTACATGTCCGACGTTGCTCTTCGTTTTTGGCCGTAATAGGTACTTCTGAAAGTAAGGCGCCACAGAAATAATTTGCCTGAGTATTGACTTGGGGCTGCATGTATTTGCGCGCCCACCAAGTCTTCACCGTCATGAGAAATTTCTTCGTTATTGGGGTGAAACAAAACGAGAGACACGGAACCGTTCCTTGGGTTCAAGCGGACACTCCCGGAGTGGACCTGGAATCCTGACCCTGGGTGTCGATGCGGATCCTCCGAAACCGTAAAGAAAATGTAGGTAGGGTTCGTTGTACCATCATTACGCAGAAATGAGTCCATACACAATACAAAGTTGAATGATGGGCACTGAGTTAGTTCGAAGAATGTACACGTCACATGACAGATGTGGTCCAAACACAGTCAAGGGATCGACGAGCAAAAGCTGCAAGCTGCAGCATTGTGACTTGGGGAAAAAACCGCAGAGGGCGTTTATAAGGCGCAAATCCAACCGCTTACCATCTACTCCGTATGATTTGACGGAAAACGAGAAAAAGTTCGACAAGGTACAGCGCTTAACGGAGCAAAGCTTACTCGAGGCTTCCGGTCGATAAATATCGTACTCGTCAACATATATCCCATTCAGAACGACTGGATATTTCATGTTGCTCCCCGACGGACATTCCGATGATGGTCTGCATGCATTTAACAACACCATATCAGCACGCGACACGTAGGCGGTGTTCCTGCTTACTTTCGGGTACGCTTGTGAAATGGAATTTAAGCTTATTCTTTTGTTTCATATCACCAACGCATGGGGAAGACGACATACGTAGTTCGAATTCCACGGAGCAGCCCAGAACTGCAGCACAAGGCGCTAATATTGCAGGGATCGGGGACGAATATTATTACCGCGCTCCACATTACCAAGGACGAGGCATTGTCTTTTGAAATCAAAAGGAGGTACGGAGTACAATTATCATCTTCAGAAGTATCCAACTGGGATTCGGTTCAACTATTTCCCCAAAGGGTGACGAAGGACTGGTCGAAGCGCACTGCATCAACTAACCACTGCCCTACTAAGAGAAGTGGATTAACCAGATTTATCCGAGTTGCCTTTCTTCGGCAGGAACAAATTAATAAGATCGGCTTGGGAACAAAACCAAGATACAGCTCCCTCCACTGATACAAGCGAGGAACCAACACAAACATCAAACGAAAAGAAGAAACCTCACCAATAATAGAATAATATCAACGCCCCCTACTGTAAGGTACCATGGCGCTCTCGCCAATACTAAGAATAAACTGGACAAAACTCTCCTTCCTTTCTTGGCTCCCAGGGAAAATTCTCGGTCAACGTGAAACAAACGCCTCGAGAGGTCTAGAATGTGTCAGTGCCCCACGGGCGACCTGTCAACATTTCCATAATTATCCAACACAGGTAACACTATGTACTACTAGCCTCACTTGGGCGGTTTCTTTGTATTATTTTTTGCCCTGTATTTTTCCTCCCAGAGAAAGTGAGTGGCAATTTGAGGTTCCTTGTGGATCTCACCGGGCAACTGGCAACAATCACTCATATAGGAAAGTTTTTCATCCTTCCACGTGCATGTGACAAGAATCTCCTAGGGAAGTGGACATGGGAACGCAGGAATAACTATCGATGGTTGATCCATTTGTATCGGTCCAGCTCTTCTTTTTGTTTTATTAGCACGAGTCTTCAGATGTGCGAGGTGTTGATGCAATTTCTTTTTAGCATCTACTCCGCAGGGATTGTTTGATGTACTTGCGGGCATGCGTCCTGTTGTCAGTAGTTATCGAGAACTATTTTCATAGATTGACTCGGTGATTCTTCTACAGTACTATTGTAATCGCTACTATTTTGGGTGGGTAGTGGTAATAGCGGATCTGACATTGTTTTGTGTGTGAGCGTGTGTGAGTGTGACTCAAGGACAGTGTATGTTGAGCTCCCTGCATACAGTAAGGGAATGTCTGGAACTAGTATACACTGCCTGGACACGCGTACAGTGGCTTTTCTCGAAACGCAAGTATGGAGGTAGAGTAGAAGGTTTGGAGTGATCCTATATCGAAAAGATATGTTATTTGAACATAGGCTTGAAGTGGCTATTCCCTGTAAAATAAGGGACGCTACCGTACGTGAATCGGTTTATTCATGACATGCATTATTCTGTGTTTAGCTCTCAACAAAAGACTTGTGTATTCGGTGCGTAAATCTTATGCCTACTTTACCAAGCAGTGAATGATAGAATGGATTTACGAAGGTCAGCCTAGCAAACAAAATGGCCAGACCAGTAAGACTATCCGCAGCTCTTCGCAATCCAAATTTTCTTCGTCAAAACAGCATTATCTTCAGGAAATGCTTCGTGACCGCTTTCGTTCTAGCTTAGTTACATATATATGCTAAAGTCTCATCAACACTTTTCTATCAATTAAAGATTCCAATACAGGAATGCCTTTTGTCTTTTCACTTGTCGGTGCAAAGCTTTTGGTGTTCAGGGTTTGGGGATATGTATAGACTTGCTGACCATCAGGCAGCCATGCAGAACAAACAACAACGCCACAGGGTGAAATTCAAAAGCCGTGCCCTGCGCAATAACGCCCAGCGGTAGGTCTTCTTGAATCCATCCCTGAGAAACCCAGTAAGCCATGAGCGATGCAATGGATAGTGTTGTCGGAATCGGCGTGCCCTCAAAATATTTCGACTTTCCAGTCTTGTCCTTGGGAAGTACGGCAACTGTCACGTTGAACCGGGCTAACCGTGTCAGGCCACAAAGGACGAAAAAAGCTAGGAGGAGGTGGTCGACATTTGTGCGGACTCCGAGAGCGAAGGCTGCCGCGGCCGGTGCCATACCAAAGGAAATCTAAAAGCGACCGTAAGTATTTCGTCATATCAACATACCAGATCAGCATACCAAATCTGCCAAGGAGTCGAGCTCTTGTCCCATGAGCGATGACTTGTTCCTCCACCTTGCAATCTTTCCATCCATAAAATCAAAGAAAAGCCCGAAAGGCATAAATCCAAGCGCAGACCAGATAGCACCATAGTCATGGGGGTCTCCTAGACAGTAACGCATAGACGAGAGGACAGACATAACTGTTCGTAAAAGTCAGTAAAGGCTGGCGTTGAATTGCGAATATCAGGGAGTAGGCTTGCCTCCACAAAATCCTATGAATCATAATTAGCAAATCTTGGCAAACATACAGCATGAGGAAATCCAATATATTACCATTAAGCTCAGTTACTAGATCTGCAAGATGCAAAGCCCTGACGTAAAAATGTCCAGTCAGCGGAGAGATTTATTACAAGATGTCGCCGAGGTAAAGACTGACCTGACCATGCTGAAGTGCCCTGTTTCCGCAGACAGAAGCATCTTCTGCTTTTCCTGGCCTGATATATCTGAGTTTCCATATCCTTGATCGGTCTAGCAATGATCAGAGCTTACCTCCGTCGCCGGCGGGCGGGACACCGCTATTCGTAGAAGTATTCGACGGCATGACCGATGACCTACGAGACATGCTCAATTCGAATTTCAACGATAAATAAGAACTCGCCAAATGAGTGCAATATAAATTGTGAAGCTTTGATTAATGTCGACAGCGGTGGGAAAGTTGCGAAAAGGTGAGGGATTTGCTAGCGGTTGCAGAAAGGATGTTGACAGGCCGCACAAGATTCTACGGCTCGGCATGTGTCCCCAGACGTCATTTCCAGGCGGTGTCGTGCTGCGCCACAGACACCAGCCACATCTAAAAAAACCCGAGTAAGGAACTACGAATAAGCACAAGTCATTTTGGCAGGTTCTTCAATCGTATAATAACATTCATTTAATGGCTGAATTAGACTACAGCCTTTGCGAATAGGCAAGCCACCTAGGATGCACAGAAAAATTGACACAAAAAGTTCCTGCAAAAGCTCCCGTTTTCCCATAACGCCGTAATAAGACAGTGCTAAGCAAGACGGAGACTGTCTAACGTCGGAAACCTCCACGAGGTCCTCCTCTGCCGCCTCCCCTGGAGAAGCCACCGCTTCCACCACGGAAGCCTCCGCCTCCTCTAGCTCCACCACGGAAGCCACCTCCTCCTCTAGGAGCGCCAAATCCGCCGCGTCCACCTCTCGCTCCACCGCGAGGGCCTCCTCTACCACCGCGAGCACCACCCCTGGCAGCGCCTCCGGCTCTCTTAGGCTTAGCAGCACCTGCATGGTTGTCAGTAATATGCGCAATATATGTTCGGTCGTAGATGGGATCCTACCCGGTGGTGGCTTAGGCTTAGGAAGGAACCTATGATCATCAGGTCAATACTGTTCGCAAAGTACACATAGAGGAATGATTCATACTTCTCCAAAGGCAGGAGCTTATCCCCACCGATGTAGACCTTGTCACCAGGCTTGAAAGAAGTTGCGACAATTCCTTCCTGGGGCTTGATGGTGAAGTAGACCTGGTTGATGGGACCAAGAACCTCGTCGACTTTTCCAATAGGTGTCTGAAGTAACATATTAGTCCTCATTTCATTCCCAAGCGTACATCTTCGGTGACTCGTACTTTGTTCTCTAGGTAGATAGGAGCATTGAAATAAGGAATCTTCGGGTTGATCGATTCGCACACCATCTCGCCCTCACAAGCATGCATAAAAGATCCCATCTCTAAATGAAATCAGTAAACTGCTATGGTCTGAGGATCGCATCGGTATTCTATACCCAAAACTTGTGCTGGTGGTCCCATTGGCTGCTGGAAGCCTCCGCGGCCTATCCGACGAAATTTTCGTTAGTCCTCGCTCATCTCAACCACCACGTCCGAGAATTGGATTCACTAACCACCACGGCCACCGAAGGAACCTCCGCGATTGGCACCAGTGGCAAAGCCACCGCGACCTCCTCCTCGAAAAGACATATTGACTTGGTTGTTGAGATTGACCTGTAAGAACGGACGGAACCCGGAGAAGTTTTCAAATGGTGGGAAGCTCGAAACGGTAAAGTGTCGCTAGCCTCCAGGGCAGTTTTAAGTCACGTGGCTTACCGCCTTCCGTCCCTCACTGCTGGTTGGGTTAAAGATCTATCCCGATATGCTGCAAAAGAGTCATCGTCGCTGGCCAACCCCTCCTTCCCCGTTTTTTTCCCCCTGATCGTTCCTTTGTCGTTGCGGGATACAGCCATGGCTTCTGAAGGTTCGAAAGATCTAGCCGTCAGGTCCGCTCCGGGCGCCCAAGGTGAATCATCATCAACCCCGCCAAATGTTTGCGAATACCCCTCCTAATCAGTCAATCGTATCAGGTGCCGGTTCGTTACCCGATTTCATAATTGAGCGCAACAACTTCTTCGAGGAGCTTTGGCAGCAATATCTCGAGGAGACCAAGAACAAGCCTCACCCCGAAATTAACGTCACCCTGGAACCCGGTAACGGCAACAAGGAACAGGTCTCCGCCAAAGCCTGGGAAACTACCCCCGCTCAGCTTCTCAAGAATGTGCCCAAGGAACTGAGTGCTACTATTGTGCTTGCAAAGGTCGATAACGAACTCTGGGACTTGGGCCGACCTTTGGAAGGCGACTGCACTGTCTCTTATGTGCGATTCGAGGATCCCGAAGGAAGGGAAGTCTTCTGGCACTCTAGTGCTCACTGCCTGGGCGAGGCTTGCGAGTGTGAATATGGATGTCTGCTCTCTCATGGACCTCCCACCCCACAGGGTTTCTTCTATGATATGGCCATGCCCGATAAGTGCGTCCCAGAAAGAAACAGGTCTATCTCGACTGGTTACTGACACTGCCATAGCCGTGTTGTAAGAGAGACCGATTGGCCAGCATTGGACAAGCACGCAAACCGTGTCTTCAAGGAGAAGCAGAGCTTTGACAGATTAGAAGTTACGAAAGAGAACTTGAAGAAGATGTTCGCCTACAGCAAGTACAAGCTGCATTATATCGATAAACTGGTGACCGGAGAAAAGAGCACTGTTTATAGATGCGGTACCTTGGTCGACCTTTGCAGAGGTCCCCACATTCAAAGCACTGGCAAGATTAAGACCTTCAAGATCATGCAGGTAGGACATTGAGGAGTCATCCTATAAAACCGCCAGGCTAATTGCTTTTTAGAACTCATCTGCTTACTTCCTTGGCGACCAAAGCAATGACTCTCTGCAGCGTATCCGTGGTGTTGCCTTCCCCGATAAGAAGCAAATGCAAGAACATTTGAAGTTCCTAGAGGAAGCAGAAAAGCGCAACCATGTGAAGATCGGCAAAGAACAGGAGCTCTTCTTCTTTGATGAAGTCTCCCCCGGATGCCCCTTCTTGCTCCCCAACGGTACCAAGATCTTCAATGCTCTTCAGACCCTCTTGCGATCAGAGTATCGTAAGCGTGGCTACCAGGAAGTCCAGACACCTAACATGTACGACGTTGGCATCTGGAAGACTTCTGGACACTGGGCTCACTACAAGGATGACATGTTTAAGCTTGACGTTGAGAAGAGAGAGTGGGCTCTTAAGCCTATGAACTGCCCCGGGCATTTCGTCCTTTTCGGTCATCGCGAGAGAAGTTACAGAGAACTTCCGTTGCGTATTGCAGACTTTGGTGTTCTACACAGAAACGAGGCATCTGGTGCACTAAGTGGACTCACCCGTGTCCGGAAGTTCCAGCAAGATGATACCCATATCTTCTGTACTCAGGATCAGGTAATTTTCCTCAGGATCTTCTTCCTTCTCTCCATCTCACTGACGTTTTGAAGATTACCTCAGAAATTGAGGGGCTATTCGATTTCCTTCAATCTATCTATGGGCTTTTCGGCTTCACTTTCAAGCTGAAGCTTTCCACTCGTCCAGAAAAGTACCTTGGAGAACTCGAAACTTGGAATTATGCCGAAGAGCAGCTTAAAGCGGCCATGACTAAGTTCAAGGGCGATGACTGGACCATCGATGAGGGTGACGGTGCCTTCTACGGACCTAAGATCGACATCACTATCGCTGACGCTCTCAAGCGAGAGTTCCAGTGTGCCACTATCCAGCTTGATTACCAGGCTCCCATCAACTTCAAGCTTGAGTACATGAGCAACGAAAAGGCCGACAAGAGCCAAGCGGCTGCCGAGTCGGCCGAGGGCGAGAACAAGTCTAGCGAGCCTGGCCCTGGCCGTGCTCGTCCTGTCGTCATCCACAGAGCTATCATCGGTAGCTTTGAGCGATTCCTGGGAATCTTGATTGAGCACTTTGGCGGCAAGTGGCCTTTCTGGATCAGCCCTCGCCAAATCCTGATTGTTCCTGTCATGCCTGCTGTAAACGACTACGTGGAAGAGCTGCAGACTATCCTGCGCGGTGATAAGCTGAACGTCGATATTGACATCAGCGGAAACACCATGCAGAAGAAGATCCGTACTGGACAGCTGGCCCAGTACAACTTTATTTTCGGTATGTTACGGCCCGACTGAGCATATGTCTAGCCTGTTATTGTGATGTACTAACTAAGTGAAACAGTCGTTGGTGCTCAAGAGAAGGAGGCTCGCACTGTCAACATCCGCAATCGTGATGACCCTGCAACGCAGAAGCAAGGTGTCATGATTCCTCTCGAGGAGGCACGCGAAAAGCTTCGGGCTCTCAGGAAAGAGCGCAGGCTCGTCAACTCTCTGTAGAGTGGCTTTCCATAGGCCTTTTCTCACGCTTTCTCTTGTTGCTTGTTCCAGAAACGATAAATTTAAGCGTCGCATAGCATCATCAAGATACTAGAAAGCATAGAGGCATTGAGGAACAACGATAAAAAGTTGAATGAAGCAATGATGTTCCAAAAGGAGACGAATTGATGTGATAAATCATGTTTTGGAGAATATTTCCACGTGCAACAACTGGTCTACCATTACGGTAGATACAGTACATGTTTTTCTTATTGTATTGTGCGTTTGTAGGTGCAAGATTTATTGAATATGAGAAAAGTTATGCCTTGATATGTGAAAAGATCCCCTCACAAAGTTGTTGACTTAAAAGTTTGCAGAATTTCTAGTACAAGTCATAACTTAATCTATAGCACTAGTACCCAACGTGGTTATGACAACCAGGACCCGTCAATTGGGGTGATTTGATCGACCATTCAGATTGGGATCTTCGGGATTGCTCAGCCGCAACCCTGGGCGGCAGCCCTTTTCCCTTGACTGAAACAAGGGTCTCATCATTTACCTTTTCTCTTCTCTATTTTCCTTTTTCACTTTCGACTCTTTTCCGCCCATAGCGGGCCTAGAACTAAAACTTTTCTCCCTTCCCTTCCTTTCCTTTTACTTAATTTTAGCCCTTCATTAAATGGTTCAATTTGGATAATCAATCATATAGAACGACGATTAATGAGATATTAGCTATGCTCGGGTCGCGATGCAGGCGCGCTATTACTCTTTGCTTCAATGGCGCCGATCCACTGCCGTGATAGCTGTCGCCACTTCACTTTTGCTCATTTCCACAGTATTCCTTTTCTATTCGCGACATCATATTGATATTAGTCCTATCCCCAATGCTCAGCCCCCTTCATCTTTCGGTAATAGCAGTGCTTGCTACGTGGATCTTGACCTACTGAGAACACACGCGTCCAATTCCTCCGTGGAATATGCTCGATTGGAGATATCTGTTGTGCGAACCAAGAACTTTACTGGTTTCTCAGATTCACTCGATGTACCAATTCCCACATACCAGACGGTAAAACTGGATACGAAGAATCATACAGAGCTACTGCCAGAGAAGAGATGTGCTACGTCGGTGACAATACATGCCCCTGTGGTGGCTCCACGCCCTAATGCATCACACTTGATATTTGGCGTCGCAACATCCACGGAGAGATTGTATGATTCTCTTGATGCTTTCGCACACTGGGCGGGAGGAACAAATGCACACATTGTAGCTGTGGTTGACGATGAAGGCTCAGTGAGGCAGTCCGAGAAACGGGCGAAAAAACTGGATATTCGCCTCACTATTATCCAAAACTCAGATGATTTGCTAGATCGGTATTTTTCCTTGCTCCGGACCCTTTTTGAGCGCAGGGATGAGCTTACTAAGTGGATCGTCCTAATTGACGATGACACTTTCTTTCCTTCAATGAAGAATCTCGTGCAACGGTTGGCGACGTATGATCCGACGGAGCCGCAGTATATAGGAGCACTCACCGAGGATATCTCGCAGATGTATTATGGGAGCCATATGGCGTACGGCGGTGCTGGGATATTCCTCTCCATTCCTCTTGTTCAACAGCTCAATGCAGTTTTCCGCAATTGCTATGATTTTAAAGGCGCCGGTGATCGAATGATTGCGCGGTGTATCTACAGCCAGACCACAACGAAATTCAAATGGGAGTATGGCCTCCATCAGTTAGACCTTCGTGGCGATGCGTCCGGGTTCTACGAATCAGGCCGTCCATTGCCGCTCTCATTGCATCATTGGAAATCCTGGTTCCACGCCGACATGGTTGCTCTCAGCAAGGTGGCTGCCATCTGCGGCGAGGACTGTCTGCTGCGACGTTGGCAGTTGTCAGATGATTGGTATCTGATAAACGGGTTTTCCGTTGTTAAATACTCATTGCCCTTGCAGGATTCGATTTCCATGGAGCAGACCTGGGACAACAGTAAATACAAAGGCCCGGATCCATTCGAATATAGTTTGGGCCCATTGCGTAGCAAGGACGAGGACAAGGTCTCCTTCCGGTTGAAAGAAGCAATTGCAGAGACAGACAGAGTTCGCCAGATATATGTTCGAGCGCGAGAGGAACCTCAAGTTATAGAGGTGATCTGGAAACTCAGATCTTGATTGCCTTTTCTTTTCTTTCTTTTCTTTTCTTTCTTTTTTTTTTTTTTT